ACACACACACACACACACACACACACACACACACACACACACACACACACACACACACACATATATATATATATATACCCGTATGCATATCCTATGCCGACCCATCACAACACACACCATCTCTCACAGATTCCTATCCTTACCACGTGCTTACCCTTGTCAACACTACTCCATGCGTCACAGGTACCCTGACATCGCCTGATCTGTTGTTCGACTATGCACTCGCAGTGATTTTCGATGCACAGGACTACAGGTGGGTGTCTCGTGAGTATTGATTGGCCTGTGTGTACTATGGTCTGGTCGCTGTATGGATAAGGAGTGCACCAGATCCAAAAAGTACGACCCAAATCGAGGGCACAATTTTTTCTAGTCCCGAGTTGTCTTGTGAGTTTTTATTGGCCTGTGTGTCTATGGCCCGGTTGTTGTATGGATTTGGGGCTGCATCAAAACCGAAAAGTATGACCAAAATTGAGTGCACAAAATTTGTCTCGACCAGGGTGTCCTGTGGGTCTGGATTGGCTATGGTTGTTCACGTCTGTGTGCGTTGTGTATATCCGCGGACGTCATTGAATAAATGAAAGATATATCGCTAGAGCCACCTACTTTTTCAGTGAGAGTAGTTCGTTGGCACAGAGAACTAATTCCGTGTATTAAATTCATACTATGTAAATAATACATCTGCTTACCTTGTACGCTCATATTCTATACCTACCCTACGGATATCCTTGTAATATAAACAGAGAGTTAGGTGTGATGATTTCATACTATGTGAATAATACATCTGCCTACTTTGTACGCTTCTATTCTATATCTGCCCTACGTATATCCTTGTAATATAAACAGAGGGTTAGGTGTTGTGATTTCATACTATGTGAATAATACATCTGCCTACTTTGTACGCTTCTATTCTATACCTGCCCTACGTATATCCTTGTAATATAAACAGAGAGTTAGGTGTGATGATTTCATACTATGTGGATAATACATCTGCCTATCTTGTACGTCCCTATCCCATACCATCCCAACGTATAACCTTATAAACATGCATAGAGAGCTAGGTGTTTTTTTTGCTGGTGATGAATTCATACTATCTGAATATTATATCTAACTTGGATTCACCCCAACAACCAAATTGTCATGAGTGAGGAGTGCGAGTGGTTGCTTTAAAATTCCGAGTGCTCAAAACTCTAAAAAAATAGGTTGTTATAAGATTTTTAGATATGTGTTTTGGCCCAAAACTCTAAGTATATATCCAGACTCATGTGTCTTTAACCACATTCCCATTCAGTGAGAACAACCCCTTCAGCATCGACGAGAGTGACACGGCTGTGGTCCAATCGCGCCCCACTTTCAGCGGTCCTGTTTCGGAGGCAGAGGATATGACGCCTGATCTACTGCACATCATTGCCACTTGCCACTCTGTCATGGCCGTGGGGACTGAAAAGTAAGCGATATTCGTTGAACTGTATGTATTTGGGACATTTTGAAACCTGTTGTGTATTTGGTGGTTAGATATCATTTTGGGTGTGTGAGCAACACATATGACATCTAGCCTGTTGCACATTTTGGTCACTCGCCACTATGTTACGGGTTATGGGGAAGTAGAAACACGTTATTCTCAGTAGGGTTAAGCGTGCACAACACAACTCAACACAACACAACGGAGTACGACTAGTTCCCGAACGAATACGTTTCATATCCAAAACGTTTCAAATGTCAACCTCGGGTTGCCAGGTCCATTGCAGGCAATCGGGTAGATGTGGAATTACTAACGGTGTCCGGATGGTCCCTCACTACCGAGAACGACTTCTTGTATAGTCGACCTGACCCACAAAGCCAGGTAAAATTGTATATGTACGGATGCTATCATTA